AGATGCAGAGACTAGAGCAGAGCTTACCTCTGGCCTGGCAGCAAGGTTGGTTGGGTCAGACGAAGCATAAGCAGAATCATCCGACTCAGCTGCAGAAGCATCAAAAGCATCATCCGACTCAGCTGCGGAAGAAGAATCAATCATGCAGGCAGAATACGAAGACGAAGAATCCAACAGAAGACGAAGACGGGGAATCGGCAAAAAGAAGGTGAATCTCTTTCAACAGAAGCGGAATCCCCAGAAGAAGCCGAATCAGAACTCTTCTTTCGAGCCAACTCTACCTGTCCCTCACTATCGCTATAGTCCTCTGCTGGCAGACCTTAGACCGTGTCTCAGCCCACCTAACTCTTACTTCCTTCCGAACTCTTGCTGCCAGCCCACTCAACCTCCCCTAACCAACCTTCCGAACCCTTGCCAGCCTCTAAACCAACCAACCTTGCCAGCACCGGTTTTCGCGCAGCCCTTCTTTATAGAAGTGAACGATAAAAAGAGGAATTCCCTATCGGGAGATCCCCTACCTCACCTCAACCTCAGGCGAGCAAGCAATTGAATGAAAATAGCGTAGAAATAGCGTAAAGTGATTCAGACTTCAGGATAAATTCTTCTTCTTGTTCTCGCCCTATTTGTTCTAAGGCTCAACTCAATCTATAGCATTACTCTTATCTTAGGGTAAGGACAGTTGGCATAGCCGCCTTGTTGGTCGCCTCATCGATATCGATGAGCAGGTTGGTGGACTTTTATCTTAGTCTTTCCCTGATATGTCTGTGTCCGTAAAATCAGATTTAGCTCGACCAACAGGAGAGGAAGGAAATACGGATATTGCTCGCTGCGAAAGGCTGGCTTCCTGACCCGGCGACTAAGGACGATAGGAAGTTACTCATTGCTATGAGGTTACTATGTAGCTCAACCGATAGAGGCCAAAGAAGAGCAAGGGACCTAGACAGGATAAGGGCTAGCGTCTGAAGTCCTCTCGTTTTGCTCAAGCCTTTCTTCCGCTTCCGCAACAAGTACCGGCCTTTAGACGGGCAAGTTAAAGTAGGCTGGCTAGAATTGGCTTGGGCTCGAGGGTGGTCTCGAACGGAGGTGGGCTCACAAGGGGGTAAATGTCACATATTAGAAGTGAAGTTATAAATCCTAAATCAGTCTATTAAAACCGGCTGGAGCCGGAATGCCATGACTCATCCAAATGAGACGAGACCCATAGAACTTATAAGTCGGGGGACAAATCCGTCCAGACAGATCCGTACCAGTATGCTAAAAACCGGCCTGCCTGAGTGAAGAGTTCCCCATCCGACGAAATGAGGCCACCCTATAGCCTATTGAGTGCTCTGCTCTTGATAGGGCCATCGACAGCGGAATCTGAATAAGAAGCATCAGCATCAGAAGCGGAATCGATATGAGTCCCCTCTGGAAGAAAAGAGGGAACAACGCCCTAAAATCGAACAGAACTCTACTCCGTAGAGCTTAAGATGAAGACCGAGGTTATGAAATATCTCGACCGCTAGGGAGAGGAGGTGAGGAATCGTAATCGTAATCTGAAGTAGGCTTGGAATTGGAATCCGTTTCCGTTTTGGAATTGGTTCCTGAATCCGAATAAGAGTAAGCTGCAGAAGACGAATCCATATCAGTTGCTGCAGAAGCGGAATCCGCAGTAAGGTCAGCCTTTCCTTTAGTTGAGTTGCAGTCTGTCCCAAGGGAAGGTGGAAAATTCGATTGGATTTTGTCTTTGTTTGAGGCCATCTCGTGATAACGAGTGATTTCATACCAGCACAGCAATCAAACAAAACTCCTACGCTAACGAGCAGGAAAAGGGAATGGAATTACGCTGTCTTATCTTAAAGGTTAATAAAGTCCTTCCGGGACTGGGCGCTATCGCTATTTATTTAGAACTAACGTAAGGAGCGGAGCAGGAGGAGCTAGCTTCCGGGGAACTAACTGGACCGATTTATTTTATATCGATCGATATAATTATGGGTTTTGTATCTCGTTTTTTACCTGGTTCAGTTCCGCAAAGCTCATCTTAATATATGAGCCCGGGAACTTTGATTGCGAGCAAGAATCGGTAGATCGATTGTAAAGGAATGCTCTGCAAAGAAAGTAGGTCGCTATAAGCGAGTTTTCTTTTGAGTGAGTCTTCGATGTATGAGACATCGATGTCTTTCAGCGAGTTGGACTATATTATCATATGAATCATATAGAGGATTTATTAAATAAAGGTGAGCCGCTTTCTTTCGCTTTCAAGACTGGAGTGGAGCTACCGAGCGTTCTAGACCAGACAAAGGATCGAGAGAGGGTGTCTGTCCAGAAGTCGGACTCCCTGAAAGCGGCTTTTCTCGGATGATATTAATTAGATTGATGCCTTTCGAACGGAAGATACTAAGCACTTTTTCTATTAATAGATGACCCAAGGTAGAAGGTAGATGAGTTATTCTTTGATCAGACTTCCCGACTAATCCTTCTTCAAGAACATGTCCAATCATTCTGAATTTAGAGTCCTAATAGAATTTGTCTAAGCCTTGCCTTATCTAGTAAGGTTTTTTTATGATTTTCTGATTTTCACTACCATATTAGAATAGTGTGATCCGAGCCGTCCGGAACTCTCATCTGTATCTGTCTTAGTGTCCCCGCGGTAGCAATCCCAAGAGCAGGGCCCCGCAAGGGCAAGACAGGACAGATAGGGCTAGCGCAAAAGCCTATAGCCTTAGGACGGGTCTCCTCCCCTGGGTCATTAATTACTTCTTTCTATGATCCTGATCCGGATCCTGATACTGAAAAAGCGGAGCTGATAGATTTTAAATAAATTGAATTTCTTACTTTCTTTTGAATCCCGTTTCTGGGAAAGAGAGCCTATAGCCTTATTAATTAGTCTACGGCCAACAATCAAACTCAATAGGATAACGTGCTCAAGCCAACAAGCAAAGGCGGGCCTTAGTAGCTGGTGATCCGATCCGAACTATTTCCCTCGCTGAAGCATCCGCTGCTAGTGCTAGGCCTCAATCAACTATTATGTTAGTTAGCACCAGATTGAGATTACTAAGGAAAGGAAGAGAAGGACAATAAGGAGAATGGATCCTGATCCCGGAGGTAGTTTAACTCAGCGCAACAGCCGGACAAAATCAACAAAGAATAATCTAATTGTCTGGTGCAGGTTCGTCTTTATTAGATAGGGGGAGGGGAGGTCTATCTCATTCCTTAGTTTCGCACTAAGATCTTCTAACCTTGGAGCCCAAGCACTAAGGAATTGATTACTAAGATCTTCAAAAGAATAATTCTGATGCTATATAAGTGGCAGGATTTAGCAAGTCTAATTCTAATGTAACAGGACAGGACCCCATCCTGTCTCAGCCAACCTTCTCCTAGTTCCGAGCCCGTCTCACTCACACTCACTCCTATCCCGCCACGACTCCTTTGAGGGAGGATATTAGCGTAGTTGTACATTCTAATATATTATTTATTTAGAGTAATTGCCTGCATAAGACTAACGACTATTCCAGTCTCCAGCCGCAGAAAAACCGACCGGTGTTAACGAGGATCCTGGTCCGCTCGCTACAAGATGTAGCAGTTGAGGCCCCGTCAAACGTGTACCTAACAAAAAAAGAGTCAAAACCTTGGTTCAAGATTGGGGAGTACTTTTTCTTTAGAGCAAGAGATACGGAATTAGAATTCAGTTCCAGTTCGACTCTTTTTTGAAAGCCTTGTACGTGTAGTCACTCGAGCGAAGCGAAGAAAGAAGAAAATAAGCTAAGCAAGGGCCTCGGGATATTAGATTCTAATAACATACGAATACGAATGAGCTGAAACCGGAGATGGAGATATAGAAAGCGGCTAAACTAGTTCCTCTTCCTAAGCGCGTCCCGCTTTTCCGGGTTTTCTACTTAGAATAGATGGATGTTATCCTGTGTTCAGTGTGATTCCCCTTTTTATTATAACAACTGTCTAGTCTAGACCGAAATGCTTTCGTTTCCATAGATAGCGAGATACCCCGATCGAAGTACAGTACACAGTCAGATCCAGATCATTCCCGAGAGTGCAAAGACGGATTTAATGGAAAAGATAGACTGATCTCATCTTTGCATAAAGGAGCATAAGTAGAATTGCATAAGTGATCACTAAACGGGCGAACGATAATAAGAAAGAATCATTCCCTATCGGTAGTAGTTTATGAGCACTATATCAATTGAGCATATTTCTATATCCATTCGTCTCATCTATGACGGTATCTATTCTATGATTGAGAAGCTGACAGGCCCAATGCGCTCTACAACAGGCCTTGCGAGGTCGTAGCAGCCGGTAACCTCGGATCAGTGTAAGATCGATCAAGAACAGAACCGGATTGGATTGAGGAAGATAAGTTATGGAGAGTGTGAACTGATATAAAGTGTTCTGTGAATGAATATATCATGTGATAATAGTAAGGGAGGAATCGTTGGCACCGTAATGAATTCTTTAATTAATTGATTAGCGGATATCAATTAATACGTGAAGTGATTGAATATTACAGCACCCCAAAATCTTATCTTATAAAAGAATATGATAAGCAGCAATCAAACCATTAGGCAGCAAGACAAGAGAACGGAATAGCTATGCACCGGCTTTCGTCCCAACCAACGCGTAACCTTTCCCCAACCTTTTCTGCAGACCCAACCTTCTCTGCAGACGACCTTCCGAACCCTTCTCAATTCGTTGCTTGTTTCCGTTCCAAACCAAACCCAGCAAGAAACCGGATGCAGCAAGCAATCAAACTAAAGCAGCAAGAAAACTACGCAATCAAACTAAAGCAGCAAGAAAACGGCTGCAGCCGTTTTCTTGCCTAGTTTTCTTGCCCCGCCTAGTTTTCTTGCTCGTTGCTTGTTCCTGCGTTAACGGCTATAGGCTTTGCGGCAACCCCTTTTTGGCCTGCCTTGCCTTATCGAATAGGGGCGAGTACCATACTACACGAGCTCATAAATTGGCCTCTCGCTGCTTTGTTTGCTCTTCGCGGAAGCTACTCGCCCCTATCGAATAAGCTGGAGAGGGCTTAACGCTCCTCTCTGGCCGGTGCTTCTTTCTGCCTTACCCTTCTTTTTCTTTCTTCCTCTTCCTGCTGAGCCTATGAGCTAAGCTCCATCCAATCAGGCATGAAAGAAAGCGCGAATTCAAGAATTCAACCTCTCAAAGCTTTTACCCTTTCTTGATCTTAGATTAATAACCCGTTGAAGCACAGGAGCTCAATTAATTGGTGCAGGTGCTTGGCTATCGAATCAGCAGCTAAGGTAGCAGACTGATTTGACTTGATGACCTGGTATGATCATGAACTAGAATGTTCTATTGAATGAGATATAGCCGTAGATCTCCCAGTGCCCACTCTTCGATCTCCCATCGCATCGGTTCCTGAATATCGACTCACTCTTGCCCGCCCTTGATAGACTAAAGGCTGAAGACCGGGCTGGCTGGCAAGGCAAAATTGCATAAGAAAAGAAAGAGTTTAGCGTAAGAGAAGAAAGCTGCTGTTAGCAGAGAGAGGGTGGATAAGTTTCTAGTTCATGGATTGATCGAGTTTCGTTCGACTTTCGACTTCTCGAGATTGGGTTGGTGTTCAGTGTACCCGGTACAAGATCGAAAAGAATGCCGATTATTGATACAGAATTTTTGCGAGAAAAGGTCCAATCCTTCAATATCATGATTGGGTCGACCAGGCCAGATCATGAGTGAATAGAAAATCGAAAACGTACATAGCTGTTCCAGCTGAAATACTTGGAATAATTCTACCACTTCTACTAGGAGTAGCCTTTTTAGTGCTAGCTGAACGTAAAGTAATGGCTTTTGTGCAACGTCGAAAGGGTCCTGATGTAGTGGGATCGTTCGGATTGTTACAACCTCTAGCAGATGGTTTGAAATTGATTCTAAAAGAACCTATTTCACCAAGTAGTGCTAATTTCTCCCTTTTTAGAATGGCTCCAGTGGCTACATTTATGTTAAGTCTGGTCGCTCGGGCCGTTGTACCTTTTGATTATGGTATGGTATTGTCAGATTCGAACATAGGGCTACTTTATTTGTTTGCCATATCTTCGTTAGGTGTTTATGGAATTATTACAGCAGGTTGGTCTAGTAATTAGGGGGCGGCCGTTCGGTCGCCTATGATACTAGGACCAATAGGTCAAAACTTTGTTTGTGCCGCAGGTGTTGAACGATCTACTCTACACAGGTGTGGGCTTACAGGGCTAGGGCTCATAAACCCTTTCTTTCATTCAAAAATAGGGCCCTGGTCGGTCACTTTTCCGGGCCGGGATCGATAAGTGGAAGTCATAAAAAATAGATCTTTCTCTTCGCACCTCAGATCAAGAGGAAGGGTAGCTTGTCAAGCTGGCCTATAGAAAATTCTATATATATATATATAATAAGATTCGCTGTCTTTTAACCGGCTGTTCTTCTTTGTCAACGCTACTAAGGCGACCGGTTAGGGAGCGCCTACTTGACTTATGTATGAAAGATAATGAGAATGGGTTCTTCAAAAAGGAAAAGGCCCTACTTAGTTTCGCAAGCCTTTGTCATTGTCAGTCAACTAAGTAGGGCCTGAGGCCCCCTGCGAATCCATAAATCTGAGGAGCATGCCGCAACAAAAGGATGGTCCCCTATGCATTTCATTCTTTCCGGAAGGGAAAAATCAAGTACCCCCATCATGGTGAACCTCTCCTTGTGATCGGGATGAGGTAGATGCCTCCCAGCTGGGGGGCGGATCGAATCGGAGTTTCCTTAGGTAGCCACCGACCTACAGTTATCCTTAAACTTCCGTGCTTGGTGGAGAAGAAGCGAACAAAGGTACGCTCGCTTGCTGTCTTGTTCTCTGCCGCGAACTGGGATCGCTCGCCAGCTAGGTCAGATTGGAGCAATAATTTGTTAGAACATATTACCCATATTCGGGGACAAGGGGCGGAACGACCTCTCGATCTACTTACTGCAGCCCAGGAAGAAAAACGTCGTCTAGGCGTTCCTTGTTGCTCCGATCTCCCCGACGCCTAGGACGTTGTCTGGGCCAAGAGCCATAGTTAGTTGCTGTTTCTATTTTGTTGTTTTTTTCTTGTTGTTGATACCGGCAAGACCCAGCCAGATGATGTCTGCTGGTTGGTAGTGAGAGGACTCGTAGTACCTGCATACCCAAAAGGGGGCGCTGATTAAAAAACAATAATTATTCTTTTTTTTCTTACTCTCCCTTAGCAGCGGGAAAGGAGTCTATCTATCTGCCTAGCTTTGGTAGATTTCCCCCAACGCAATCCACAGAAATTCCACGAATCCCTTGGTGGATAAGTCCGACGACTCAGCAGCAGTGCGGAATTGACTTTCTCGTCTGGTGGATCTGATCTTTAGGGGGCAATACATACCAAAAGGTTCGAAGAAGGAAGGCGCATAAGAGTATATAACCAACCCACCCTTATGTATAACCTATTCACATTAGTAAAGCGGCTGGATGCATAAGGGAAGTGCACGTTTGTGAGACCGGATGCATAGGGAAGTCAACCTACGAGCACGGAAGAGCGTGGTACCACTGCCCCTCTCTAAGTAAAGGTAAAGTCTCTCCTTCAGCTAGAATGTAAAGAAATTGAAAGAAGCGCGGAAAAAGGTCAAACGCGGTTGCTAGCATCGAAGAGAGCCGTCATCGACGATAAAGTGGGAGTTCGGACTTGGCGAACGAGCTCTTGCCGCGGGAGAGGAAAGCGGGGCAAGCAAAATAACCATTCCGGTGGTTGATAGTGGAACAAAGGCTGGAAAAAAATGGATAGGCATGCCTTATCATCCAAAAGGATGTAGAAACTGGAAGGGCTCGCAAAGACTATCCACCTTAAGCATTTGGTACTGAGGAGAGCCAGCCATTAAGCGCAGACCCAAGCTAAGCAAGAGATGGAAAAAGCACACTTTTATTTACCAAACTGGGAAAAAAAAGATCAGAAGGGAGATCAAAGCCCGAAAGCACCTAGTGAGCTCAGATTTGGACTGGGAAACCAACTATATTTGGTTAAACCAGAGAAAAGAGCAGGTAGCGAATGATCTGAATGATCAAGCAATGAAATCCTCCTTTGTCGACCTGAAGCTGAAGTGAAGGAGGGAATGGAGCTGGAAATCATCCTGGCTTTTGTGAATCAGTTGTAGTTGCGTCCTTACTTGATCCCATCTTTGTTAGAATAGACTCTGCTCAGGTTTGGAACCCGTTTTCGAAGCTGGCTTCAAAGCCCTTACTAGACTAGATAGGGATAGCGGCATATCGTACTAAATCTGTAACCTATAGCATCATTAGTTGAGCTAGCGGCAGATTCTTTAGCACTCGTGCTTTCATTATGGATTAACTAGCACGAGTAGCGGCTTCAGTAGCTTATCCGGGGTACCTCCTCTAGTGGAGGAGGCAAAGCACCAGTGGTAGCATCAGTACCGGCATAGCCTTTTTTTTACAATAAAGAAAGGACTGGTACTGAACTAGTAGATAGGGTTGAGTCAGTTGTTGATCCAGAAGCGGTAGAAGTGGTAGTAGCATACCTTCCATATCAAGAGCTAGAGACAAGTGATGGCTTTCCCTGTACAATAGACCCAGTAGATCCAGTTGATTATGCTCGCGCTCATGATAGGGATTCAGTTTATGGCGTGAGGTTCAGTTCCTTATCTAGAAGCCTGGATATATATATACTAATAGTGGCTTCCATACCTATCTCCGATAGAGCTAACAGCATATCAACCTATGACTAGTAGACCCATACCAAGATCCAGCAGTATACTTTAACATTTACGGATCTCTTTCATTATCCAATTATTATATGGCTTACTCACCGTACAGAGCTTATTTAATGCCATAAATTTTGGAAAAGGTTAAAGATCCATACCCGGGCGGGGAAAGGAACAGGGCTATAGGCAGTTGACTTAGTTCACTAAGCTTAAGTGGATTCAGTGGATTATGCAGATTAAGCCATCTATTAAGCCGTCTAAGTCAAGCCCACCTAAGCCAGCCTTAGCCAGTGATCCATACATAGCTTCTATACCCGGGTGACCCAGTCGCATATGCAGTAGCTCCAGATCGATACCCCAATGCACCCCAACCACGTGATCGAGACCTATACCCCCCTTCGTACGGTTCCAGGTCCAAACGCGGAGGCAGTTCCAGTCCTTGTCGCAGCGCAGTAGTTAGTAGGTGATCCAACACCAGAGATAAAAGACGCAGCAGATTCATATACTGACCTTAGTGATATAGATCTATACCTAGGTACAGAATGAGACCCGTTAGTGAGGTCCATATCGGTAATAGAAAGACCTGCCACCAAAAGCATTCCGATGGAGCAGAAGTAGACCCTTCCCCCGCCATAATAGCACCACCTAGCTTCGCTGCATCGGGATAGTAGTAGCACATATCTTTTTATAGTGATCGTTAAAGGGATAATGAAACCAATGATAGAGTTGACCTAGCCTAGCGACATCCATCCCTTGTCTCCGACCGGGGGATAGAGACTACTTCATGCGCAACTTCAACATCTCAATCCAAAAATGCTGCTTTATAGTCTCACAAACCTCTAAGAACGACCGGGGTATTAACAGCGTACCCCTGTCCACTGGAGCAGAGTCTGAAGCTACGACGGGGCTTTGTTCCCCCATTCCATCCTGATCAATAGGATGAGAGGGATCGTTGATCTGTTCAACCTATTTGGATGGTTCGATCTCAGCGATTTCTGGTTCACCGTTGGGAGAAACCAAACCCTAGTACCATTGTTCTCTCCCATCCTTCCAACCTGCTTCACACACTCAAATGAGTAGAAATAAGGCTGACGGACCAGATGGTTTCACAATTGCTTTTTTTCAAGATTGCAAAGGATCACCTCCGCCCAATAGAGCCTAGCCCGAGAGAGGACTTCTCCAGTGTGGATCGAAATGGTCTCGCGGAGCTAGGTAGGCTTGCTTCGCATAGGCTACGCAGCCTTGGTCCCCGGATGGTGTAAGTCCTTCTCTAACTTGAAGAGCAGCAATCAAGCAAGCAAGAAAACGGGGCAAGAAAACGGCTGTGCGTGTTAGTACGCAACAAGCAACGAGCAATCAAACTAAAGCAGCAAGAAAACGGCTGCAGCCGTTTTCTTGCCTAGTTTTCTTGCCCCGCCCCGTTTTCTTGCTCGTTGCTTGTTGACTAACGCGCAGGAGTTTTCTTGCTTGCTTGCTCGGTGCTTGTTCCCTTCATTATACGCATTGTTGTTCCATCTCTTTTTCTTTTCTTGGAAAGAAGTAGATCTCACTGCTTAGCGAGTGGAGACACTCGGATTATGCTGGTGCCTTGGGAATGCTGACTTGAGTATGCTAGGATTGGAAGCTAATTCAACTAGGACCTCTTGTCTTTCTTTTCCTTAAGGATTGAATTTCTTAACGCGATTCAGTAAGTCGATCCTAATACTATTTTATCGTGGTTATGATAACTTTTGTTTCACTCGCAGTGCCACAGGTATCCCTTATAGAGAGTGGGCAGCCTTTATTGGGAAATTACACAATTGCAATGCTGATGTTATGACTCGGAACGGAAGGCTTTTTCGGAGATCTTTTTACAGGGTTCTCTTCGTATTACACATGTCTCACGAGTGAAGCTACGAAAGCCCCTAAAAAAGAGTCGATTCCAGCTTGGATTAAGTTAGATGTACAGGCTACTGGCGAAATTCCACATAAGGGACTACGATCCACCAGAATAGGTTTTGTATGCTATTGAAATGAAACATCCTCAACTCTGTTTGAAAACCCTTTTTGTTACTTTGGCCAACAAAAGCACTTAAGATATCTTAGGCTCATGTCGGGATGAGGAGCCCTTATTTTGCTAAATTTAGGTTCCCTCGCATCAAGAGGCTTTCTTATATGAAGATCATGACAATTCCTATTAGGCGCTACCATGTCACGAATTTATTTGCACCAAGCAGCGGAAGAAAAAATCTTTGATAGTGAGAGCTCATGAGCTAGGTTAGGTCTACTACTTATCTTTTGCCGAAAAGGAGAGCACTTTTTTCAAAAAAGAAATGTACCGCTATGAAAAGCACCAACAGCTAAAATAGCAGCGCTTAGGCCTAATCCCAATGCCCTTACTCAAGGACCAATACCAGAAAAGAGAAGAGCGGAGGCGTGAACAAGAACAGCTTTCTCTTGTGACCATGAGTGAATTCCACTTATTTTTCTTTACCTCACCGCTAACCAAGAGCAGTTGACAGGAGACAGAGTCTTGACTTTATGTTGATGGATAGGCGGACTTTACTCCCATTGATCTAACAGCATGGGATATTCTCGCAAGAGCTGATTCAATCGGGTTTAACATCGGGTATTCTCACTGCTAGCAATCCATTTAGTTAGGTCTCGTATGCCTATTATACAGTCTGACTAAGAGTTCATAGTATCTTATCTGATCTGAGAACGGAATTCAAATAAACCGAAAAGGTGAACGCAAATGGGGTGTACTTTTACGTACGGATCTAAAGGTACGTAAGTCACTCATAGTTAGCTATATGAGGCAGGCCACGACCTCTCCATTTTGAGAGTGCGAGTATGCACTGATCGCGATAAGGTCTATCGCAATCGCAGCAGACGGCTATATTCGCTACTGAGAAAGTTGCGTTTAACGATGAATGTGAAATCATCCTAATGATGTCAAGAAAAGGCGTTACGTTATTTCGGTCCTCTCCTTACTTTATTCGATAGGGGCGAGCAACTATAGTAACCTTTACAGTCGAGTAACCTCGTGCCTCTAACAAGCAAGGAAACAGAACTGGTGTAACCAAATCAATATTCTTTCTCTGCTTAGGGGTTGCTGGTGAACGTGCCCTCCTCCTCATCCTTCCTATTCGGCTTCTGGCTTCAGCCTCAGATGGCCTTAGGTGAGAATTTCATTATCTTCCCTTGCTTGTCCTCATAGATGCGAATATCAGTCTCAATCGACTTCAGTGGTGGGGCAAGTATCTTAACGAATGGGAATCACATTTGTTCCCAGAGTACGAGACAGCTACTCTGACCCCCTCAGTATTAGTATCGACTTCAGGAGACCAAAAAAGTGATCAGGAATAGCGGCCTTAACTTAAGGGCCAATAGTTGAGGCCTTATCTTCTCTTTCAAACTTCCTAAATTGATCCCTTTCGTGAGGCAAGGTGGATACTACTGGACCTTGTTACGACTTCACTCCAGTCAAAAGATCGTAGCGTAGAGGGAATCAAAGGAAAGACATCTATGCTAGTTCACCTCCGTCAGTCTAGAGCGCCTCTCGCGCCCAATAGACTTTTATCGAAAAAAGGCTTTCTTTTAAGGTTTAAGTAATCTCAAATCGCCCAGCAGCCTCTAGAAGGCCTTACTCTATTCCTTCTCTTACAAGACAGAAATAAAGAGAGACTTTCATTTCTAATTTAAGAGAGAGAAAGTGCAGCTTTTATCAAATGATGTTAATGGCTTCCTTACTATTTGGCATCGAATAAATAAATTGTTAAAAGCGCTTCGCGCCTTCACTCTTATCTTCTTGTAAGAGTTTTAGCCCTTAAAAAAACACTTCTTAGGTATAGGTGCTTTTCTTCTAGTGTTACTACCTTGAAAACAGATTTTTTGCGATTTTCAATATATATTTAACTATAATAAAAAAACATATAATAGACTTTATCTTACCTTCCATGGTAGGAAAGGACTACCAGTTGCTTCTCGTATCGCTCTTCTAGATTCAATCTTTCTCAAGTACCAAGATGCTTGCATTGCAACAATCCAGACTACACTGAAAGCTGGCACTGTTAGTGTCACAATTATCCAAATTTCTGCATGCCTTTCCTCACCTACTCAGTGCTCTAAAAGTCCCCAAGTGCAGATAGTTAGAGCACCCCAGGCCCAGACAACCAATGCAGCAATACTCCATTTTAAGATGGCGTACAGGCTTCAGAACCATGCCTTTGAGATTTTGACTCCTAATTGGACAGATGATGCTCTCCTGATCAATTATGATACTTCCCCGACCCCCCAGCCATGTGTACATTCCGAATCCAAATTATCGGGATGAACTCATCAAACTTCTTCCTGAGTCATAGATAACCAAGTATGAAGAGCACCACAACTCCGCCTGGCCCCAATAGGTATTGGTCACGAACGCTATAAGATAGGTTGCTTTCCTCTTGCTAACCTAAGGAAAGAAATTCCATCCCTTACGGGCGATCGTTAAGAGCCTTTAAAAGACTTTGCATCCTCATTCTTCTATGCTTATTCTCCGGACTTCATTTATAGGGGCGAGAACTTCATGCCTAAAGCTTCTTTGGTCACAGAGCAGCTATCGTAATTCATTATTTCTTTCGTTACACGACTTCTCTTCCAATTCACATACGCAATTCCAGTTACTGATGATATTTCCTTCTCTATTGAAGTTGCTTTCTCAGGCCCTATCAGATAAGGGGGGTGAGGATTGAATTATCTTACTAGCAACCTATTTGGGCAAAGCCTAAAACGTACTCCTCTTCTTACTGAACATCTGGAATTCTTTATCTTACTTCACAGGTCCCTTGCTTCTCTGTCCCCTTTCTCGCTACGTGGAGCTATTGAAGTGATTCAGACTGATGGAATTCTTCTTCTTTCTTACTTCATCCCTTGGGACTGCAACCTTTAAGACAGCAACATCCTAAGCGCTTCCATCGAACTCAGTATCGAAATTAAGAAAGATTGAGTTCCCCCTAAAAAAGAAGTGAATCTGGAAGTGACTCCGCTAAGGCCATAAAGGCCTTTCTTTTCTAGGCTTTCTAGCCCTAGAAATCAGTCCACTAGAAAGGGACGCGTGAAAAAGAAGAGAATCTAGTGAAAGCAGAACCAGCGCTTAAGAAAGAGTAGGAAAAGTTGGCACGTCTTTAACTTGGCTACGAAACTAGGCTATTCTTCCCCTCTCGAAAGAAAATGCTTTCATTTAAGATCTCCCCTGAGCCAGCTAACTCAACTCTTCTTTCTTAGCAATGATCTGTTATCAATGAATTTCTTCCTTACCGGAATTCGGAGGGAACCCTTAGGTTTTCGGGGCATCTTTCGCTTGACTTTTGTGTTGCGAGTGTATGCGTCCACCACGGTCAGGGCTATCACAGGTATCTTGTACCTAGTTAAGGTGCAGCTTTGTCTGGTCTTGATTCTAGACTGGAAATAACCCTATGACTGACCTAGCAACAATTTTCTGTTGATTCGGGAAAAGCAGAATCCGCGGGATAAAAAGGATCCTTTTGTTCAGGAGAAACTTGATATGTTAGTTCGGAACTAACTGGATATGCTGATGAGGTTGTTTACAATGCTTCGAAAGAGGTCGGTACGGAAAGAATTGAGTGATTCACCTAACACTTCAAAGCGTTACCGGTTGTGCTTCTTTAGAGGGAAGCAAGCCCAGGGAAGCTTTATTTGTCTTACGGGTTGCATCTAGGTATAGAACATTTTTTTCAATCGAAAAAATGAAACTGTCAATCTTTTCCTCCTGAACGATTCTATCTATCACTTACGTCATTTCTTGTCGTCAGTCAATCTTCATCAAGACAGTTGACCAAGTCGAAACCTACTGCTCAAGTCTTCCGAACCCGAATAACGAGAAAACTTTTCTTCTTATCTACGAAAATTTATGTTTTGCTGCTGCGGCTGTACGACAT